ATGATATGTGACTTTAAATGGGAAGTAGCGCCTACTGAGTCATTTCCGCTCCCATCGACCAGTAAGTAAAGACGAAACTGGCTTGAATCGAACCATTCCTTTTCCTCTTCACATTTGCTCTTTCTCTTGCCGGCAACGACATTTCAACTTTTTTTGCGTTACCAACAATGTTCGGAGAACAAGTGTTAGCTCTTTCACAATTTTGCTTTCTTCTTGTTGAAACGAGGGAATATTGCTAGTGAAACTTCGAGGCGAAAGTTGAAGTCATTTGTAAGGATAGTGGACACCCTTTAGGATAATGGCCACCGTCCTTAATCATTCTCCTCAACTGAACACAGGGTACAGTCTTGCTCGCTGCGGATGAAGGGGCGCGTCAAGATGGCGCGGCGCTATCCATTTATTTCTTTTTTCTACAACCGACAGGACTGTATCATATCGGTTGTATCAGCCGTTTTCCACTAGCTCTTGCCGCTTATTCGCTTCAACAAGTGGTGGAATGGACAGGCGGCGTGCTAAACCTAGTTTCATTTACACGCCCCTCAGCCGCAGCAGAGAACATTGTACAGCGTCGTTGGTAGAATCCCATCAGGGGATCGTGCTTGGTCGCTTGGAAGGGGACGGGTCGTACTTGCCTCTGGGAAAAGTTCCTCCAATCCGCGATAAAAGTTTTTTTCTGTTGTTGACTTTTCTTGGTTTTTCCCGTTTCATGTTTGCTATATATACCTCATCCCTTTGTAGCTTCTAGGGCCAGAGCGCATGATCATCCTTAACAGGAGAGTTGGGGGGTGGTCGTATTTGGTCCGAAAAGAATGTTTCGATAGTTGATTTTTCTATGGTTCCACGGACCTCTAAAAAAAAGGGAGTTAGTTGGTTCCCCCTCTGCTTCCTGATAGAGGTTGTTGATTTTCGGTGGTTTATTCGTGGTTGTTCTTGCCCTATTCATATGTTGGCCGATGTGCACCCTTCTCCTTCACGCTAACACGTCGATGAGAAGGCATGAGTGGGGGGGGGGGGGAAGCCGAGGGGGGGGGGTTCCTATCAACGAAGCCCGTATTAGGAAGGGGTCGAAATTGGACTCGACCCATAATGCGGCAGGCTAATGAGTGGCCCTATTGCATCACTCAATCTATCAAGCGACTACACAGCTTTCTGACTAGCTGAAATAATACGTTGGATTGTTGATGCTCTCCCCCCCCCCCCCACTTCTTGACGGTAGTAATTTTTTTCTGGTAAGAAGTAGGAAAATTGGAGAAAGTGATAGGAAGTTGGGAGAACTTGGAAAGATGGTCGGTGGAGCGGTTCGTGCCAGATCGTGACAAGGAGACAAGGATAATGTCCACTCGCATGAACAGGCTGATAAGCACTTTTCAAAGAGATTGATTTATTTTTTTTCAGAGAATCAGCGAACTTCAGGAACAAGTTTCTGACCTTATGTTGCACTTTGACGCTCAGGCAAAGATACAAGCTCAGTTGGACAGCTCTCAAGTCTCCAAGGAGGTTAGATAGCTACAGTAGATCCAGAAAAACTTGGATTAGGCCAAGGGTCAGACTCTCGGGAGTTTTATGAGATTTTCTTCAATTTATGCACGGAAATTTTGTTTTCTGGAACAAAACATGATAGAGTAATCTGACCAGTAATGTCCCAGACCTGCAATTTACTTGTTGGTCTACTGGTTAAAAGATGTATTTAATCCTTAGAAGTGTGGAAAGTGGCCTATTCCAAGTTTTGTTTTTCGGTGCTGTGCTTCATGGCTACCGTTAGTCATCCTCAATAGTGTTTGTTTCAGGAAATCGAATCCAGTCAAGTAGGGGTGTCCGCCACTCCGGAAAAGCGACAACGTCGAAAGAACAAGCGATGAATTTTCCTGATTTTGTCGGTTTTTATTTACGGGCTTTTTCTTGGATCTATTGTAATGGTGTAAATTGGTTTCATTCCTACTCGCAAGCTTGTCATCCAGCTATGTGATAGTGCCAATCACTCTTTGCTTCCTACTTTGTTCAGTATCTTAATTCCAGTCGTTTCTCTTTCACACACCTTGTAAATGTAATAATAATAAAGTATCAGTTCATCATATAAGAAAGAGCATCGATGAGCTCTTATTGGGATACGCCATGCTGTCGAATTTCCCTCGTGGTTGCAACAGCACTTGAGTGAGCTGAGGCTCACCCTATCTGATGTGATGTTTTATGTTGTTCGGGTGACCTCAGTGTTTCGAATAACACAATGACACGTTATTCAACTACTTCTAGGGTATAAGGCACCCCCGGGTAGAGAAGGCACCTCTGCCCTGCAATAATTTCTTCCTTGTTTTACCTTTGCGTGTTTTCTTTTGTTTGTTCTTATCTATATGAGTATTGAATCGATCAAGGAAGCAGTTTGAAACTATTTCCTCCCCCCCCCCTATTGAACAGCGCCAAATTTTTGGTGTAAAAGTAGCGGAACATAAAGCGGCAAATTCGAAAAGTGGCAGGACAGTTCGAATTAGGCGGGGTTGCACGGGGTCGACCAGAATCTCCAACCAATGATGGCCCGAAATAAGGCACAGTTCCCAGGACGTGTTTCTTAAAGCTGATCTCGAATCTACCCCCGGAAATCGTCTGCGCTGAGTGTGAAGCTTTTTCCTCTGCGTCTAACAAGCAATAAGTCATGGGATTGGCTCCCCTGCTGGGCTGATTTTTTTGGAGACATTTTGAATGCTTCTTCGGCTTCAAAAAGGCCTATGAAAGAATGTTGAAACCAGCGTCTTCAGGTATTCCAGCGTGTACAATCGAATCTGGTAGTAAAGTCTGACCACCTGATGGATTCATTATCCTGCGCGTTTTGGATTCGATCCGTGGACAGTGGTTGGCGGTGTGAGCATTGTAAATTGAGGAGACGGGTTCCTGTTCTTGTAGGGACGCCAAAAAATTTCGGTACGCGTTCAGCTTAGGGTGAAAGGGGCAGTTTGCACTTTTGCTAGTTTTTTTCAACTAACAGCTAACAGATCTGATTTTGATGAAATCTCAACTATTGTGAGCGGAAAGGTAACAGTAAAAGACACTTCGTTACAACTCCTCACGAGGTGGCCCATACAATCAGGGTACTGCGTCGTTGTGTGAAATATATAGGGGGGTCGTACTTTTCCGCTGGGAAGGGGGGGTCGTATGTCGGTCTGAGAGAAATTTGCCGCGTTCGGAAACAACTTTTGTACGATTTTCATGATTTTTCCTGTTTCACGTGAACTGTACACCCCCACCCCTCGCTCGACGGAACATTTCTGGCCAGGATCCTTTTCCGGAGGGGGAGGGACACCACCATTTCACACATCACGATGCTGTACCCTGTGTACAATCTTCGCTGAGCAGTACTGGAATCCCCACCAAGCCGAACTGCAGAAAAAATTCCTTCCAAGCGCCCAGACATTGCAAATTTCAATTGAGTTTTTCGGATACCGAGATCTATCGAATAATTGGAGAGAGCGTAATTTGGTGCCGGACGCTAGGAACATGGCTTTTATGAGGCATATCTCGCTGATCGTTAAGAAAACCTCGTAAGATAGCAAGAATACTAGCCTTTCGACGAGGCCATTTCTTTTTTTCGATGAACATGGCGTCTATCGTGCACCATTTAATCAAATCTCGAGAGGACTGACTCGAGCATCATTTTTATTGGGATTTGAAAAGGGGCCTAAGGGCAACAAGGCTAGCAATATGATATGGATTATGGGTAGCTCTTGAAACTGAGGGATAGTTACACTCACAACCTATAGAGTGCATTCAGGGCACTTCATTGCTTTGGGGAGAACTCTTACTGAATACGACCTCACCCAAATTTACTCCCCCTCCCCCCTATTTTCCTCTTCCCCTTTGCACAACTTACTGACCATGTTACCAAACTTTCTTAAGGGATTGCAGCCCGCCGAGTTCGTCGAACGGAAGGAGAGTGAGGGAAGGGTAGTAGAATCTTCGATCAACTAGCAAAAATAGTAGCCTTGCGACGGCGCCAACTAGGAAGTGCGTGTGCAGTGGGCCTGAAACAGAGAAATCGTCAGGTAGAATAAAAATTTCTCCAGGTCGAGCACGACCCTCTTTCTGTCCAGCACCAAATACTGCCCCGAGAGTCCCTAACCCCCCCCCCTAGGAGCCCCAATTGTAGCGTGACCGGCGTAACTCATAGTGAAAAACGTAAAAGTTAGAGGCAACACTGGACTGCATAGCAGAACAGCACTGAAAATAGAATTTGTGGGATTCCAAACCGAGTGGATTTTTTGAAAGCTGCAAGTTGTTCCAATGGAATCATCGACAACACCAGGTCTAGCATGAAAAGATGCCGATAGACTAAAA